TTGTTCTCTCCCTGTAGAGCAGGATCTTGCCTCGGGGGCTACAGGGAGGGTTTGGGGTCAGTGATGTCCCCATTTACAGATCAGAAGCAGTCCCTCTGCCCTCACTTATGCTCCCTCACCACGGTTTTGTTCCCTGCAGGCCCTGGACCTGTGCGTGCAGCTCCTGGAGATGGGAGAGACAGCTTTGGTTGTGTCAGATGCAAAGTACTGCTATGGTGCCCAGGGCAGGTGAGCAGGGAGGACTCAGCGTAGGGCAGGATGGCCCCAAACAGGGCTGTGAAAGCTGTCCCCTGCACTCCTGGTGACACCCAGCCACCAAGTCGCAGCTGCCACCGTTACCCCCAGGCATGTCCTGCCTGGGGGGGAACAATCCTCATTGTGTTCTGTCCCGGGGAGCTTCCCTGGCTCTGATTTTTGGGCCATGGTGCTACATCTACATGGCCCAGCGGCTGGTGGGAGTGGCAGAGGTGGCAATAGTGCCACAACTTTGTGCCCTTGTCTGCGTAGGAGCCCTGACATCCCACCCAATGCGGCCCTCACCCTGGAGGTGGAGCTGCTGGCAGCTCAAGATGCTCCAGACCTAGAGCTGCTCAGCGGGAAGGAGAAGACAGAACTGGCCAACCGCAAGCGGGAGCGCGGCAACTTCTTCTACCAGCAGGCAGATTACGTGCTGGCCATCAACTCCTACGACATCGCCCTCAAGATCATCGGCTCCAGCTCGAAAGGTACCTGGTCCCACCCAGCGAGGGCTGCCTGGTGTCCCTCCCCGCTATAACCTGCTTCTGGGGTCTTTGCAGTTGATTTCAGTCCAGACGAGGAGGCTGAACTGCTGGACGTGAAGGTGAAATGTCTCAACAACCTGGCAGCCTCTCAGCTTAAATTGGACCATTACGAGGCGGCCCTCAAGTCCTGTAACCTCGTCCTGGAGCACCAGCCAGGCAACATCAAGGCTCTCTTCCGAAAGGGCAAGGTGAGGGAGGTGCTGCCATCCCTTCTCCCTGCTGTGACAGAAGGCAGGACTGAGGGGCAGATCTCAGCCATCCTGTTCCATCCGTGTGTCGCCTTCCAGGTGCTGGCTCAGCAGGGCGAGTACAGAGAGGCCATCCCCATCCTGAAGGCAGCG